AGACATGGAGGCCTCTTGTACACCTGCTTGATCAGGAGGTGCTTCTGACCAGACTTGACCAAGCTAGAAGACATCCCGAAAATTCTTTACTGAAATATTGTAGTTCTGCTGCTCACCACATGGGGCAGTGTAATTACCTGGCAATGCAATTGTCATGAACCTTCAATGATATGCCACTAGTCTCCAATCTGTACCACACATTTGCAAAAGAACTACATTCAAGCTATACTCTGTTGCATCAATTCCTATTTTAGTTTTTTTGGCTATTATCAAAGTACTTCCGTTTCAGTGTTCTACTAATATTCTTTCAAATTCTTTTTGATAATACTCATCCTAACCTGTTGTAATGTTTTAAAATATTTTTGAATTGTATATTGCCTGGGTCAAATTAAGATTGTATTTTTTCAGTAAATTAAATATGAGAAGTTCAATATTTCCTGAACTTTTTACTTGTATTGATAGAAGCGTTCATGATCACTCTTACACCGTGTTGCTATTTTCCTTTCTATTCTATCCTTCCACTGATAAACCTCCTTCTAAATGTGAAATTTTTGCATTCTAAACTTTCATTCAGTTTTGGTGCTGCTTCATATTGTCCCGCTTAAATATTGTATACAAATTCTCAAACAGATGTATTCAGTTAATGTTTACATATCATTCAGCTTCTAAAACTTCTCTAGTCGTTCCAGTTCTCTTAACATCTAAACAGAATCTCTTAACATCTTTAAAAAATCTATTAGTTTAAAGAAAGTGGATAATCCAAAATCAATCTACTTATATCTGCAATTTAATCCCCAAAAGTTATTTTTGGACAATTAACCAGACATACAAAATGAGAGCTTTTATTTGTGTACATTTAAAATGCTTAGCATTTGATTTCTATAAATCATTTGAAGTAATTATGTTATCAGATGCCAATTAAATAGTACCATCTATAAGGAGGAGCTTTCATATATATGGACCAAAAGCATGATCTCTGATTAATATTGTAAGCAGTTTTCTCAACTGACCTTAAAAGAATTCCCTCTCATGTTTGTTAAGGCCAATGAAGTCTGGTAAATTTGCATTTTCTCAGATCCACTCAACAAATATTCCCTCTCATTAAATGTTACTGTTTCAAAGAACATCAGATTGACATTATAAAGGGACTGCCATCTAAGAATGCTAAATTGAATTTATATTTTTCTTTAAATATAAATGATTCTGATGTAGGGAATTTCCATTTACCTCTGAAAAATATCTTATTTTAATACATCCAGTGTTTATCCATTTCCAAACATGTAAAAATATAATGCAATATCATAATAATATGGATGCTCAAAATCTTTTTATATATTTTCTACGCTCGTGTGACTGATTCTTTTGGTCATTTCATTAATATTTTTGCCAGCTGCTCAGTGATACTAAAGAAAATGCTATGCAAATATCATCAGAAATAAACAGCAATCTACTCAATACACTTTTTCCTCATATTATATATATTCCAAAAATGTACTACATTGCTGTACATAATTTAAGATTATGAAACTGATTCTGTTGAACCCATTGATGAATTTATGTATCCATAATAAACATACTCATTGTAATCCTAGTTTTAGTTGAATTAGATTTAAACAACTCTGTTAATAGATTTATGTGTTTAGTACAGCATTTGTTGCTCTTTGTTGAAATGTCAACACAATAATTTTTGTTTATTAATCATTCTGAAGGCTGTGGGTATATTATTAATCCATTTTCAAAATTTATTTGCAAATATAATGTCTTGGAAGGACCAAAATAATTTTTACTAATCTACTCTATTGTCTCAAAAGCCTTTTCAGAATCTAAAAGTACAAACTGACTTCATTTTAGAATTCTTAGTATTCAGTAACGTGCACCCCTCAATTACACAGAGTGAAGGAGCAGATATGGGGTGTTTTGGGGGGGGGAAGTGAATCATTAATTTGGTATTGTTGGTATGGCCCAGAAAAACTCTGTGAGGCATTTTCCCTCATGTGTTCCAAAATAGCCTGGTGACTGGGTACTATTTATTTATTTACTTATTTATTTAAGCTTTTCTATACTATTTATTAGCTTTAAAAAAAACAGCTCTCTATGCAGTTTGCATTGGGTTTGGGGGTTGGGGGGATGTTGCTTGCTGTTCTCCCTCAGGCAGCAAAATATCTTGGTTCAGCCCTGGTACTTCTTCAGTATAATCAGAAATTAGCCTGCCTGCAGCAAGTATAATCATGATAATTGTATATTCTGATCACTTTGTCAGCAAGGTTAGTTGTAAAGTACTTATATCCTGGATTTGCAGTGGTATCAGTCCACACGAATCAGCAGAGGTTGAAGCTTGCTTTCTTTACATGTTAGTGATATCAACTATTCCAGTTAGCTGAATAGATGTGTTCATGAGCATTCATTAAAGGAGATGGATCTCAGAAATACATAGTCTATAAAGACATTGGGTCCAGAGTGGGCATTCAATGATCAGAAGAGCTTCCGTCCACAGACTACACGAGAATAATCAGTGGCTCGCTCCTGGAGGGTGGGAGCAGAAAGGTGAACTTTGCAATCTTCCTGCAGCCACCTGCATTGCTTCTCATTTATTGCTAAGGTTCCACTCCTTTCACAACTTACCTGAGATCAAGTTGCATTAAAATGAGACTTATTTCTGAGTAGATGTGCATTGTAAAGTTCTGTTATTTACTGATATAGTGTTAATGCCATATGAATGAAGACACATATTTCTATAAGCCCTAATATAAATTCAGATATCAAATTTTGTAGCTATTGCAAATAATATATAGTTACGTAGGATTTCAATACATATTGTATCACTGGTTAATCTAATACTGGATAATTCAAAGAAGAGCTAATGTGCTGCCTGATAATAAAATATCAGTATATTCCACATATACTGCTGAAGTTCTGAATGTTGTTCATAGTTTAACATTACTAAACCTCACATATAACTACTGAAAATGTCCATAATGCAACAGTGTGTTTTCTACATTGCACAGCCAATGACTGATCATTTCATTTAACCAATAATCATGAATTACATTATCCAATGAATGCTTTTCAAGCTCAAAATTTAACTGATGAATATGCCTAAAATAACATGATGTCACTATTAAATATCTGACTCCTAGATTTTAACACCAACCACTTTCTCCCAATAAGCAAATTGTAATTTCAAACATTTAAGTCATCATCCAATTGTTTAAATTCAGTAATTTAATCAAATAGATTTTTAGACAGTCAATTATTAGTTTATTGTAAAACTGATATTATAGTAGTGAAGTCTATCAAGAAACATTTTTATCAAGTTGCAGTTAAGAGTGACTAACCCAGAATCATTTGTGCAGTAATTATGGATTAGGTAAATTCTCTTTATTCTCTAACAAAAATCACAAATTACTTCAAACATAATAATTTACAGTACTCACACCTCTGTGTTGAGTGCCTGAACCTGCCAGCTATGAGGATAAGAGGAACCCCATTTAAAAAAGAAACAAGTTGAAGGGAACAATGTATTTTATCAGAAATAATATTAATTACCAAGAGTTCTCACTTTCCTTGATTAATTTGGTATTCTAATAATTTCCCCAAATCATTAAAAATAATAAACGCTCCTACCCTTATAATAGAGAAAATAAAAACCTTGTTTGATTCCATATTTAAGCTCAAATAGCTAATTAATTTGACATTTACTAAAAATCTTGCAGAAAAAGAATATTACTAATGATCTCAACTGAATAACACTGGTGATTATGTAGTCTAAATGACACCAATTATACACAAGAAGGGGATATGATCAGATTCAGAGAACACCGACATTTTCACAAGAGCAAACATTCTTCAGAAAAAGAGCACAGTAGTGCATTGTCTCACCCACTCACCCATGCAAGCAGCCCATTGAAGACACAGGAAGCTCAAGGAACATGAAATGCTGAAAAAAAATCAATGGAATAAAAGTGGAATAGGGAAGCAGTGCCTGGATACCTTAACAGGGAACACTCCATGCTGCAACTTTTTGTTGCAAGTCCCACTTGTACAAAAAACACATAAAAAAACAAAGCAAGACAACACAAAGGACATTTCCATTCATAGAATCATAAATGGTAGTGTTGGAAGGGGACAGAGGGCCATTGGATCCAGTCAAGACATTTGTCCTGATGTCCAGCCAGAATCTGGTAGGTTCTGGTAACTTAAGCCCATTATTCCACGTCCAGGGAGCCTTACTGACCATTCAATCTTCTCAATCACTTTCTCTGGATCGACAAACTCTATCATTGCTGGTTTTGAGAGGTTTGTTATATTCATCACTTTTTGAACCTCAGCTGTTTAAACATCTCAGCTAACCTCAAGGTATGTACTCTCCCAGAATCTAATTCAACCTTTCAGCGAAGTTAATAGCCAGACCTAAAATCAAAAATCTGTTCCCCTCAAAATTTACATGAAGTTCTTCAATAAGTGAAAGGTTATTTTTTGTCCATGTCTCAGAGATTCGCTTTTCTCTTAAACAATAATTAAATTATTCTATGATTATTTTTTTTAAAAATGGAGTAAACAAGCTGACAGTCACAAGTGCTGAGTTGAAACATTGAAAGGAAAATGACATTTTTGTACTCTGCATTCAGACTAGATGTTCCACCTTTCCCCTATGACTATTTGTCTCTATGTTACGTTCATGCAGTCATTCTTCATTTGCAATAATCTGAGCATAGGTCCATTCCCAACTAAAACCCAGACAAATTGAGGTTCCTGGATGCACTTTTTTGAGAAGATATTTGTAACACTGCATAATTAGACAATATGTCAGTTAACTGTTCCATGCATAGCAAGGGGGTTGAAAACTTCTGGACGCACAGACTGATGTATATACAACAAGATGATGATACGGCGGCATTTATGCACTTATTGTAAAAGCCAGATTCATCCAGTTGAAAAGAGAGAGCAGTCATGGTAAGAATGGATGAGGAGAACCTAAGGCATTTTGCTGCTCATGCAGCCTACTCCTGGAAGATTCTCTCGACGTGCTGCCTTCTGGAGAGAACTTGCAAGCCCTGGCATTCAAGAGGACCAGGTTGGGAGCAGCCTTCCTAGCAGTGCCAAGACTTCTGAAGAGTGCTATACACAGGGGCTCATCTTGTGCCACGAGTACTAACTTTCCACTGCCAGAGAAAGTTCTCCTTTGCCCAGGCCTCCCCACATATTATCTGGCTAAATTTAATCTGCTGTCTTGATTAGCTCTTTTGTATTGCTTGCTATGACTCTGATTTGTCTTGTGCTTATCTAGACGCTCTTACATCGATGAATTGTTCCAGGATATTTGAAAGGTGGTGTACGAATGTTTCAACAAATATATTAAGGCTGGAATCTCAAGCAACTTTAAATGGAAAAAGATGTATATATTACATCTGTCTAAACATGCATAAGGATGTACCTAAATATATTAAGCCCTAAGACAATTGATACTCGAACACCTCAGCAATCAATCTCAGTAGTGATGGAGCTTGAATGTAGAATGACTATAACTGTGGGCCATTTTTTAAAAAATCCATAAGTTCCTTAAAATAGATGACTCACCTGTCCTGATGAATGATCAAGCATTTGGTCCTGTTCTTTGCTGCCTGGAGGAGGAATGTTGGGGCTGAAAACCATGAGGTCGCTCTTGATGCCAGCTTCGCCGCTCACTCCAGCCAGGATGTGACTGTGGCGATTGGAATAGGACCAGCTGCCCACTTCACTGGCACACACCAGTGTTGCTGTGCCAGGGCCGTACGCCACTCCCTCCCTAGGGTGACGCGGGCATCGCAGAATGACATATACAATGATCATCAGCAAAAACAAGCTGGACATTGAGCAGATGGCAATGATCAAATATATGTTAACGTTGTTCACCAAGGGCTTTGGACTTCCTCCCATCCTGGGAAGGTGACCATCACTGTAGATTTGTTGCGTGTTTGCCACTAGTGATACACTCAGCGTAGCGGTGACTGACAACCTTGGCTTCCCATGATCTTTGACCAGCACCAGCAGATCATGGCTCCCTCCACTGACATCTCCTTCATCGAGCACACGCATGGTGCTGACCTCACCGCTGTACATCCCCACTCGCCATGGCCCACTGACCCCTTCAAGCATTTCGTAGCACAGCCAGGCATTGTAGCCTGAATCAGCATCCAGGGCATGAATCTTGCCCACCACGTGCCCGGCCATCACAGGAACTGCTAGCAGAACAGGAATGTCCTGGACCTGTCCCGAGACTGCAGGAGCATTGTCATTCTCATCCACCACGAAGACCTGGATGGTGGCATTGCTGCACAGGGAAGGCAGCCCGGCATCCCTGGCGCTCACCTGGAACTCCAGCAGCTTCAGCTCCTCGTAGTCCAGGGACTGCAGGGCGTAGAGCTTCCCGCTCTCCGAGTGCACCGAGATGTAGCTGGCCAGAGGCCAGAGCTTCTCGTCCATCCAGTAGCTGAGCAGGGCGTTCTCGGCCAGGTCTGGGTCTGAGGCCGACACAGTGAAGATGTGGGCGCCGGGTGGGTTGTTCTCCTTCACAAAGACCACGTAGGAGGGTTGACTAAAGTTAGGTCTATTGTCATTGACATCGCCAATGGGTATTGTGAGGCTGCTGGTGGCCGACATCGTTGGTGTCCCTTGGTCTTGGGCTTTTATCACCAGTTTGTATTCTGCCTGCTGCTCCCGGTCCAGAGGCTCAGCTACCTCCAGAGAGTAGTAATTCTTGAAGGTGGACTCCAGCTTGAAGGGGAGTCCAGGGGGGTGTAGGGAGCAGCTTATTTGCCCATTGGCCCCCGAATCCTGATCTGACACACTGATCAGGGCCACCACCATCCCTGGCAAGGAGTCCTCTGGCACTGGCACTGATAAAGACTTTAAGGATAGCTCCGGTGCATTGTCATTGACATCTAGCACTTCAAGGACAATACTGCAATACCCCATCATTGGATAGCTCCCCTTATCACTAGCTTGCACTTGAATCTCATACTGGTGATTTTCCTCAAAATCTAATTTTTCTTTTGTTCTCAATTCACCATTAACTGAATCTAAGTGAAATATCTTTTTAAATTTAACAGGTACACGATTCTGAAATGAGTATGTAAGATCCTTATTGATCCCTTCATCCAAGTCTGTGGCATTTAACTTGATCACTAAGGTCCCACTTGGGGCATCCTCTCTCATTTGTACTTTATACACAGACTGGTTAAAGGCAGGGGCATTGTCATTTTCATCAAGCACTGAAATCACCAGCTGGGCTGTGCCACTGAGCTGCGGCTTCCCTGCATCCACTGCCGTGAGCAGCAAATGATGCAAAGGTTTGACCTCTCTGTCCAAAGATATCTTTAGCAGGAGTCCTAATGATTGGCTCTCATCATGCTTCCTCTGAACATCTAGGTTAAAGTATTCACTGGGGCTCAGGGTATAGGTGAGGTCAGAATTTGGACCAATATCTGCATCAGAAGCTCCTTCCAGTGGGAGAAACAAGCCAGGCATTCTCATTTCTGAAACAAAAATCTTTTGTTCCTTTTGAGGGAAGGTAGGTGCATTGTCATTAATGTCCTTGACCTCCACCTCTACATGGAAGACTCTCAAAGGTTTATCCACAATCACCTCCAGATGAATGGCACATAAAGGGCTCTTTACACACAGCATCTCCCTGTCTATCCGGGAATTCACAAATAAAATTCCGTTCTGCACATTTACCTCTAAATAATCTCCAAGGCTTTGGGACTCCATCCGGAACATCCGTGGCACCAGCTCCCCCACCTCCAGCCCCAGGTCCTGGGCGATGCGGCCCACAAAGGTGCCGTGCTGGGACTCCTCTGGGACAGAATAGCGGAGCTGGCCGCACCCCACCTCCCAAGCCATGCTGAGCAAAAATAGTCGCAGCAGCTGCCTCCTCGCTTGACAGCACTGGAGCGAAGCAAGCATACCTAGAGTAGCTCTCGTTCCTGGTTTTTAAAATAAAATCCACTCTGCAGTGTTGGCATGAAATTTTGGGAAAGAACCAGTTGTTACGCTGCTGTTTCCATCCGGTCGCATCGCTGTCTTTTCTTCTCGCTTGGCTGGGAGGGGCTTGGGGCTTTGCAAAGAGGCATTTTGATTTTCAGTCGGCAGCGACATCTTGTGACAATTGATATAAAAGGCTTTAAGATTTCCCTTAATTTCTCAAATTTTCACTTTTGCTTCGACTCTACCATTAATTAACTGCATTATAGAATTCATATGCAGTTTAGTATTAATATAATATTATTCCTTGAAGCATTGCCCTGTGCATCTTAAATATATTGTGTCAATAGTTTTCTTTCAAAAGCCTAAAAATGAAGTCCACAGGTTTGGTAGAGTACATATTGATTTTAATTGGACAAAATTGGATTTTAAAATACTTTGGGTTATTGGCTGGGCTTCTACATGTTGCCAGAACTGTATTTCCTGCCATATGGAATTTTTGTGATCCATGATACTGGTCAACCTTCCTTTTCCCTGCTGCTGGAAAGGGCCAAATGGGCCATCCCAAAGGCAAATCTGTCTTGCCCCAGTCCACTCTCCCCAAATGCCAAGAGGGCTCTGTCAGAGCATGTGGCAGCCAAGAGAAGATCCTTTGCTAATGCCGGGCCACATTCTGTAATGGAAGTGGGAGGCTATTCCTTCTAAGCCTGAGCAAACACAAGGAAGACAAGCCCTGAGCAAACAGCACACCCCCAGCCAGGGAAGGGAGGGGTTCCATCCAAGCCATGGGAACCTCTGACCAAGGGGAGGAGTCACAACAGAGAATGGGCACTGCGGGATAGTCTCTCCACGTATGTCCAACACATGCCTGTGCCCTGCTTAAAACACGCCAATGTGAGAAAAGTTGTGCTGGGTCAGACTGATGGCCCGTCCAGTCCAGCACTGTTCACGCAGGACCCCTCAAGCTGGATGAGTGCAGGGCCTGCAGCTGCCCCAGCTCCTCGGCAGTTGGCGTGTGCAGGCGGCCCCCACCAGGCAGGGGGTGAGCACAGAGCGGGCATGGCTGTCAACCCTCAATAGCCTCCTGCCTCATGAATCTCTCCAGGCCCCCTTCAAGCCATCCAGACTGGCAGCCATCACCACCTCCCGTGGCAGCCAATTCCATAGTTGAACTGTGCTCTGCGTGAAGACGTGCTTCCTTTTCTTTGTCCTAAGCCCCCACCAGTCGGCTTCATGGGAAGACCCAGGTTCAAGTGTTAGGAGAGAGGGAGAGACAATTCTCTGCTTGACCTGGAGCACACAGTTAGGCAGACCATGTGTGGGTATGGTCAACCAAAGTCGCCCATGATTGCAGCCCTGCCTTTGCTGCAGGCCTTGCCTGCCCAGCAGTGGGTCCCTTTTAAGGGATCATGTCCTTCTTCCTCAGAATGAGGCCCTGCTTCCCCATGAGCCCCATTTTCCATGACAGCTTGTTCCATCAGATAATGTTTCCTCTGGGTTACACATATTTCATTGTGAATTCCTTGGAACAGGAACCTCTGTGTAAAATGCCACATCCAATCATGATAATCATAGATCATCATTATCATCAATCAATCATCTTCATCCTCTAATTCTTAAGTCCTTCACCAATTCTAAATGTGACTTAATTTTTCAGATGTATATAGTATTGGATGAGCAGGGATTTTCCCTGTGGATAGCATCACCAGGAGTATCTGAAACACTGGCATTCCATGTAATGTTTCTCTTTCTTTGCAATAATTTCCTTCTCTCAATGTTCTGAACCTTTCACTATTGCACTAAAGGTGACAGAATATTGGAAGCACCTTTTGCTTCTAACTCACTGGAGAACAGTATCCTTTACCTGGAAAACCAGCCACAGCAATCCCGAAAGGAACATGCTGGGGGCAGAGACCATGTTCGGGGGGGGGGGCAATTGAATTGGGGGGGGCAATGGAGCTTGAGCTCCAGTTGATGCACAGAAGGGATGCATAACAAAGAGAGTGAGGAGCAAAGGGACTACAAAAGGAATAAGAGAACCATCAAAGGGATGACCCAGCAGCCCTACACCATGGAAAGACTCTGGAAAAATAATGATATCCATTGCAATAATGCAAGAACACAATCTGAAAACTAAAACTCCTAAGTATAAACAGGCAGCATCATTGAGCTCCATAAAGCTCATTTGTCCATGTGGACTAGTGGCCAGAGTGCTGCACCGGGACTTGGGAGACACTGGTTCTTGCCTTTACTCGGCCACGGAGCCCATCTGGTCTCTCTGACATCACAGAATTGCTCTGAGGTTAGGAGAGGAGCCAGACCTTATAAGCCACCTGAGATCCTTGCCAGAGGAAAAGGATGAGAGGGAAATGAAATGCAGTCATAATCATGCAGTACTGAGGTCAGTTCCACATCGACCCTTCCAGTGGAGTCCCATATACCACAATGCAGGGCCAATAAATTGAAAGTTTCAGCACAATCCATATTTATTTATTTATTTATCTATTTACCACCCCGCCTTTGAAGTTCTCTGGGTGGTGTATGATGCTTTACTCATGGAGTCTCCCATTCAGGTAGATAATCGGTTCTATCTAGAGGAATAACATTTTTTCTGTGCTCAATCTGTGCTTAAAGATGCGAAAAGTATTCTTAAATAATGTGAACAAAGCAATCCTATATATGTCTACTCAGCTCCAGGAGCTCAGTCAGACAGACTGTCAAGTAAATGAGCATCAGGGAACAGTCCTGTACATCTTTACATGGAGGGAAGTCCTACTGAATTCAATAGAACCAACTTAAGAGTAAATATTCAGAGCATTGCACCATAAGAGAACTTTTTGAAAACAAGGACTTTCCTCCTTCAATAAGTTTGGAAAATGGATGGTTTTGATGAATTCATAAGTATCTGGAGTTGGAAGGCTTTTCCTCTGGAAATGTATTTTCTTTACAATGCTTCTGTCCGAACTCTCTGCCAAGGATACAGTGACAGTCGCAAGGTCCCAGTGAATTTCATGGCTGGGAAGGGCGATAAATCAGGATTGTTCCAGCCCAGTCCAGGCTATTATTTCCTGTATCACACCCCCTGTCCCATATAAGGGCCTCCTGATTCCAACCAAGGCCCAGCATTCTGTTCACATGGCCTCAACTGGTTGGCCCAGTGGGAAACCCATAAGGAGATGAGTGCAACAGCAACTTCCCCCTCCACACATTACCCATATCCCACCCTGAAGCCAAAGTGCAATGGATCCAGGAAGTCAGTATCACTCAGTAGTGCCTAGAGTTGGAGAGACATCACCTTTTCAATAACCTTACAAAGAAAGGGTATATTTGAGACTGATCTAAACTTGATAAGGTCATAGAAGCATAGAATAGTAAAGTCGGAAGGAGCCAAGAAGGCCATCAGGACCAGTCCCCTTCTCAACACAAGACTCCAAGTTAAACCATCCCTCTCAGATGAGTGTCCAGGTGCCATCTTGAATGCCTCCAGCATGGGAGAGTCCACAACCTCCCTAGTTTATTGGTTCCATGGTTGCATTCTTCTAGCAGCCAAGAAGTTCTTCCTGATGTTCAGCCAGACTCTGGCTTCTGGTAACATAAGCCCGTTATTCCATGTCCTGCACTCTGGAATGATCAAGAAGAGATGCTGGCCTTGCCTTGCTCCGTGTCACAACTACTTGAAGAGTGCTATATTTTTCTACTCAATACTATAAAATGCAACCTTCAAATTGTAGGAGACTCACAGAAATATGTATAATTTACCTGATTCACAGCATGAGATAACATGTGGAACTGCTAACTGCTAATCTGTATTCACTGCTAATCCATGTAATTTAATTGCATAGTATACCCATCTATCCATGCTTTTAAACCTTTTGCCAGTGTTTCAGTTCCCTGCAATCTTTTTGGGGTAGTAAAGAAATGAATGGGTGAAATCCAGGGTGTCCACCTGCAAGTGGGTATACATGGTTGATGGAATGGATCCTCTTCTCCCTGCAGCTTCCCACACAAACCCAAAATCTGTTCAGTTCAGTTTTGTGGGACAGGAGAAAGAATGCAACCTCAGCTTTTGCCTGGTAAAAATGCAAAGAAGGCATTTTGATTTCAGAAATTCTACTTAAATATAGCTATAACTTCTCCAATTCTCCAACTATTTCTCAATTTTCTAAACAAAGGGGCCTTAATTGTTATCAGCTGTCTTATTTATGGTGGAACTTATATTTACACCGAAGTATATAACTGGTCAGTTTTATACTTGCATTCTGAATGTGATGGACTTTTTGTGGGGTTTTAAATAAATAACACTACATTGATTATAATACACACTGCTTGTATAATTTAATGTGAGATTAAGTTGTATTTTTCTATAATGTGGAATAATCCTTGTGAACTATTAATCCTAGCAAAATATTTCAAGTTGTTCCATATAATATCTTCTTATAACATGTTTTTACATTGGGATATTTTGTCTGAAATCCTTAAATTTGAGGAGTTTCTTTAATTGCATCAGTTGCATCAGTTATGTTGTAAGCCGCCCCGAGGCTTCGGCGAATGGGGCGGCATAAAAATGTTTTAATAAATAAAATAAATAAATAAAATATAGGCTCAAGTATTAAAGTAAAACAAAAAACCACTAATGAACCTCCTTATGTTGTACCTCTTTTCAGTGTCAGAGTCTTTATCAGTTGGCCATTGACCCAGCTTTGGTATGAGCTCTACAAAACAAGGCGCGATATTAAATGTGTTCTTGGTTCTGAACAAATTTCAAAAAGCCATTCTACTCTATCAAAAGCCTTTGCAGTCTCTACCAATTGTTGCTTGATTAATGTGTGCATGATTAATTAGACTTAAACTTTCCCTTATCTCTGCTTTCAAATATTTGGCCTTTTGTGAGGCCTGTATGATATATTTTGAAATACTTTTTGCAAATTAGCTCTTTGTTGTCAAGTCACAGCTAAGAACTACAGCAACTGAAAGACTGGTCTGTGTACATGAACAAAGTGAATCCAAACTAGAAACCACTTCTGAAAGCCCCCCTTTTCAGTAACACAGGGCTCCAGCCCTCTGGGTGGGTCCCTCTTTAGAAGGGTTAGCCTTTAGATCTTTGCCCTCTGAGTAGCTCTTCTATTCCAACACCACATTATGGGTTCAGGGACTGGACAGGACATGGGCTCATCTTCCACCTTTCCTTTATCCTCTCTCTTCTCTTCCAAGCCCCGCCTGTTCCCATGGTCTGCCTGAGAATATGGGGACAGCAGCCTTGAGACAGTCTTATTAAGAAATGACATTCATTGTCTATTCTAATTAGGCAATTTTGGTTTCATAATACGGAGTCCTGAGATTCTTTGAATTGCACAGGAAACTAAGGCATAGACCCATAGCCAGAAATGTTATGGCAAAGATACTGTAATGTTGGTGGGAGTGCCATTCCTTGATCCAAGTCAGGATTTCAGAATGTGCCATATTCTTAACACATGAGTCTGTCCCAGAATGTAACCTGACTGACAGGTCAGAGGGGATTCTGGAGGAAGAGAAGGAGTCTTTTAACTGCATGCAAGAAAGGAGCCAGTAAAGTAAAACCTGACACATCTGCTAAGCTTAAACAGAATGTAGGGTCTGTCCCAGGCCTCTGAACACAGCAGAAACAACTGAAAATCAACACAAAACAACACAATCATGAACTGAAGTCTGATGTGTGACTAAGATCACAATCTTATAGAGATGCCCAGAATCCTCAGAGATCAGAGGATCAAGGACATATTTTGGAGACAGAAGAGAGCAGGACAAAGGTCACTTGCCTGCTCCTCACATTCTACAACTCTCTGAGTGAGTTTTGGCCATCTCAGTGAGGCATTTCAGAGTGGGAAGCTGAGGCTCCACCAGAGTATTTCCTATCATGTCTCTTCCCCTCCCCATGAAATATCCCCCTACACCTTTCCCAAGTTTATGTTTATGCCCTTAGAGAAGCTCCCAGTGCAATTCTTTCAACCATGGAAGGAGAAGGGATCCAAGCAAAGATTTCCACTCAGGAGAAAGATTCCCACTCAGGGGGATTCCACAACCTTGTATGTAGGAATCCAGCTGTCTAGTGATGGTATGATTGCCCTGCCCTTAATTTGTTTAAGCTGAATTAGTTTGTAAGTAACCCCTGTGTGTTGGGAAAGGAGAGTCAAACAAAAAGCTGCTTCTGTTGTTTTCAGTTCTAGCAAGAGAGGTGAACACCCATAAAGAGGGATGGGGCTACAGGCAAGGACCCTGCCCCAACAGCCTTACATGCTCTTTTCAGGTGACTGAGCACCCTTTGTGTGGATAGGAATGCTAATAGGGCAAGCAAACATGAATAGAAGACTTCCCACCACAGGTTATCTCACTCAACAGATAAGATCAGGAATCTTAATCAAGGTTGGAGTCAATCAGCCATTTCCCTGCTCCTGCCATCTTTAGCACTGACCACAGGATTACCTTTCAAGAAAGCATCTCCCTGAATTAATACTGAAAATGCATTGCAACAATGTTAAAAGTCACATTCACAGCATTACAACAAAAGGAGCAATTCCTTTGCTGCTGCTGCTGCTGCTGCTGCTGCTGCTGCTGCTGCTGCTGCTGCTAACTAAGGTCCGGGAATTTCTGGAATCCATGTGGGAAAATTTAACCATAGGAACAATTAGGAAAAAAGATTGTGCTTCTTTCTGTACCAGAGGAGGAAGCACCCCTCTCTGCTTTGCTGCTGGGGAAACAATAGGATAATAAAATTAGCAGCTGAAATGGAATGGGTAACATGACAGAATATGCTTCTTCCACCTTCCACAAAAAAGTACCACCCATGGATCCTGCTAATTCAGTTGTTAACACTGTGGTTAGATCACTCCTAGATTACAAATGCCACTTAAATCATTCTCTTACTTAAAAATCAGTAACACTGAAAAATAACTTGAGCAATCCAAAGAAGTTTCCAACTAATTACTCATTTCTGTTTAAAAAGTGGAATGAAAGTGGCACTCTTCAAGAAAATGGTTTCTATGAACTTGGGAAAACGGCAGCAAGTCCATACTCAGAATGGAAAATCAACAATAGGAACGTTCACTAACCGTTGAACAAAGCAGATCCTGTGGTTTCCCATTCTCTGCGAAAAGAGGCACGTTGGGGGTGAAGACCATGAGGTCGCTCTTTGCACTGGGCTCCCCGGCCACCCCTGCCAGGATGTGACTGTGCCGCTGGGA